AAATGTATAAGTCGCCAGTGGTTATGGAGTACATTGCTGCGTAGAAGATCTCAGCAAAACAAAACGGAACCGCTAGTTTCCGAGCCACGAATTGGGGTGCGCGCGTGGCGCGTGCGCACGTGCAGCGGCAATTCAAGCTTGCGATGAGTATCAGGAACGTTTAGCTTGGCTCTTAGGGAGGCAGATACAAAGTTTCAGCTAAATCGGGCGGCTAGTTTCCAAGATAAGAACAAGGGGTGTGCACGTGCGCACGTGCAGCCGCACCCCTTGCTTGAGGTGTGAACCAGCAATGGTTGTTAGGCTGTTGCCTGTATACAAAATTTGAGCGAAATCGGACGAGCAGTTTCTGAGATACAAAAAAGGGGTGTGCACGTGCGCACGTGCATCGGCACCTCAAAATTGGGACATGCGTTATTGGCAGGTGTGTTATACCTAGCTGTGTGCCAAATCTGGACTCATTGGGGCCAGCCGTTCCCGAGATACTGTCACGCCATTTTCATAAACATCTCTCACGCGCCACGTGCTGGTGCTCCCCCGTTACACCGCATCGGTTCGGCGGATGATCCCCATCATTTTCAATGAATGGGGCTATGCGGCGGTGAAAAAATGAATGTCGTAGGTGAACTGACTCTCGAGTTATAAGCATTTACTTTTAGGGCCGTTGTGGTCATGGCCGGATTTTCTGTGTCCAGTCCATGTATACAGAGGTCTATGGTTTGGTGTTCAGTCTGGGTGTGTTGCTGCGGTCCTCCGCTCTGAAGGTGCATAGTTAGGCGCCGGGACAGAGTCGTGGTGGTGAGGCCGATATAGCCACTTGAAGGGAGGAGCGCACAGTCTCCTTTGTTGCATTTGAAGTGGTATACCAGGTTGCTCTGTTTTAGGGGTGACTTGTCATTGGCCATGTTGTTCTTCATGATGAGTGATGTCGTTGTGGGACTCTGATAGTAGATGGAGATTTTGATGCGGTCTTCTGGATGAACGGGCTTGCAGTTGCGCCGTATGATGTTCTTGAGCGCCGACTCTTCTGCTCGATAGCCGCTGGTCATCTGGCTCTTGTAGTAGAGGCTGATGACGTTGCCTTCATTTGATGTTGTCTGTGATCCTTTGTTGATGTGGTTGTTGACGATAGATTGTATTTGTTGGTCGATGGTGGTCAAGTCATAGTCATTATTGACCAGGACCTGCTTTATCCGCTGCAGCTCTTGGTGGACCAGTGGCCAGCTGGAACAGTGCCTGAGGGCTCGGTGGACATACGCCCTCACCACGCCGTCCTTGTAGCGCTGAGGGCACTCGCTTCCACCGTTCAGGCATCTCTCGTTGTCCGTCGGCTTGCGGTAGACACTGGTGGTGAAGTTGCCACTCGCAGCATCGATGGACACATCAAGGAAGCTGATCTTATTGGCTACACTCTCCTCAACAGTGAAGCTGAGGCCGGAGACCTCCTCCAGTCGTGCCTTCAGTCGCTGCAGTGATGACATGTCACTGACTTCCACCAGGATGTCATCGACATATCGGCAGTACAGGTTTGGTTTTACACGGCTTTCACTGAGGACTTCGTTCTCAACTGCCGACATGAACGCCTGGGCGAATAGCACGCCGAGCGGCGAGCCCATGGCGATGCCGTCCTTCTGGTAATAGAGTTGACCTTGCGGGCAGCGGAACGGCGCCTTAGTGGTGCAGAGGCGGAGCATAGCACGCATGACTGGCTCTGGGATGTCGGGTGCTGGCAGATCGACACTGTTGTACAGGTAGTTGGAGATGATGTTGATCGTGCGCTCCACCGGGACGTTGGTGAAGAGGCTGCAGACATCAAGTGATGCTAGAGTTCCGTGTCTGGTCCTGTTTTTGAGCAAATCGATGAACTCAGCAGATGGACCCCAGACCCCAGACTGAAACGAGCTGCTACAGAGCTACGCAACAATGACTCTATTGTTGTTAGGAGGGCGGACAAGTCCCAGATGTTTGTAATATTGGACTCCACGGACTACCACAAGAAAACAACAGATATCTTAAGCGACCAGAGCAAGTTTCAAAAGATATCCAGGAACCCTGTAGACCAATTGAAGAGGAGCGCAAACGACCTGATCAGTGCTTCAAATAAGGCGAGCAAAACTTTCAAATTCGACAAGATAACGGGCGAATATCAGCCGGGGTATTTCTACGGCAACGTAAAGACCCACAAGCAGGGAAATCCCCTTCGGCCTATAATATCGCAGATACCTCTTCCTACATACAAACTCGCCAAGGAGCTGAACAAGATCATCAGCCCATTCATCCCTGCCACGTACTCGCTCAAATCATCTGCTGAGTTCATCGATTTGCTCAAAAACAGGACCAGACACGGAACTCTAGCATCACTTGATGTCTGCAGCCTCTTCACCAACGTCCCGGTGGAGCGCACGATCAACATCATCTCCAACTACCTGTACAACAGTGTCGATCTGCCAGCACCCGACATCCCAGAGCCAGTCATGCGTGCTATGCTCCGCCTCTGCACCACTAAGGCGCCGTTCCGCTGCCCGCAAGGTCAACTCTATTACCAGAAGGACGGCATCGCCATGGGCTCGCCGCTCGGCGTGCTATTCGCCCAGGCGTTCATGTCGGCAGTTGAGAACGAAGTCCTCAGTGAAAGCCGTGTAAAACCAAACCTGTACTGCCGATATGTCGATGACATCCTGGTGGAAGTCAGTGACATGTCATCACTGCAGCGACTGAAGGCACGACTGGAGGAGGTCTCCGGCCTCAGCTTCACTGTTGAGGAGAGTGTAGCCAATAAGATCAGCTTCCTTGATGTGTCCATCGATGCTGCGAGTGGCAACTTCACCACCAGTGTCTACCGCAAGCCGACGGACAACGAGAGATGCCTGAACGGTGGAAGCGAGTGCCCTCAGCGCTACAAGGACGGCGTGGTGAGGGCGTATGTCCACCGAGCCCTCAGGCACTGTTCCAGCTGGCCACTGGTCCACCAAGAGCTGCAGCGGATAAAGCAGGTCCTGGTCAATAATGACTATGACTTGACCACCATCGACCAACAAATACAATCTATCGTCAACAACCACATCAACAAAGGATCACAGACAACATCAAATGAAGGCAACGTCATCAGCCTCTACTACAAGAGCCAGATGACCAGCGGCTATCGAGCAGAAGAGTCGGCGCTCAAGAACATCATACGGCGCAACTGCAAGCCCGTTCATCCAGAAGACCGCATCAAAATCTCCATCTACTATCAGAGTCCCACAACGACATCACTCATCATGAAGAACAACATGGCCAATGACAAGTCACCCCTAAAACAGAGCAACCTGGTATACCACTTCAAATGCAACAAAGGAGACTGTGCGCTCCTCCCTTCAAGTGGCTATATCGGCCTCACCACCACGACTCTGTCCCGGCGCCTAACTATGCACCTTCAGAGCGGAGGACCGCAGCAACACACCCAGACTGAACACCAAACCCTACTGACCAGACGGGAAATCGTGGACAACACCTCCATTCTGGCGAGAGCATCGGACTGGCGACGACTGGCGGCTCTCGAGGCCATCATGATCAGGGAAAAGGACCCAGCCATCAATCGGCAGATAAACGCCCGAGGAACCCTGCAGTTGTATGAGGGTCGGCGCCTGACCTAGGTCACGTGTCGCCCACTAGAAAGCTGCGCTTACCTGGATGGATAGATCTGCAATTCGTTAATGTTGATGTAACTCGTTTAATTCATTTCCTAACAGCATATCAAGTTTCTTCAGAAATGTCTTTTGCAATTTATCACGAGCGACTATCTCGCGGTGGATTAATTCAAACGAACTGACTTGACCGAAATGTGTGACATGACCTTTGTTCTTGAAAATGTATAGGGAATATACGAAACGCGTCGAACTATAAGGTCAATTTAATGGAAATAATACTTTTGTTAACCATTATGAGCTTGGGTAATATCCTTTTTGAACATGTTGAAAGCAATAAGAAAGCTATAAGAGCACTAGAGTCCATAAACCGTAAGCTTATAAACGGAAAAGCTGCGTTATCATTTAATGAGCATTGCCATATATATATATATATATATTATATATATATATATATATATATATATATATATATATTAAATATATATATTATATATATTATATATATATTATATATATTCGTTCCTATACGTTCCTATATTTGGGTACTCATGACCATAGTTCCACCTACTGCAATGCAATGGCCTTACCGAGGAAGATATAAAGGCGCTGGACACCGGTCTTCTTCTCAGCAAGTTCAAGATATTCTGTAAATTTGTTCCTTTTATTAAGAAACTTTTCCAGTTCAGCCTTGTAGTGTTCAAACTTCGCAGCCATCTCTAACCTTTTTGGGTACAAAGTGCCTTGTTAAAATAAAAGTGGTCGCAAATCCTCACGATTCTCACCCAAGTCCCAAAACCTCTTCTTGCTGAATGCTGTTGTTTCTGTTTGGGATTTGTTCAAGGATTTGTTTCGGTAGAGATGTGTCTTCGAGACCGAAGGCGGTAAAAATTAAACTAATGACGTCAAAAATCCGGCGATTTGCATTGAAGACCAAAATAATTTATGAAATATTTTATCTATCCTCTCCTATTCAGTATTTGATGGTTTCTCAAACATTTTATGAAAACAATTAGGTCTTTCAGAGGAAAAAATTAACGATGCTACTTAATTCTTTTGACGTAATATTCTATATTCGCAACACAATGAAGCTTAAATTTTCGGATGGTCTCAAAGACGCCAAATATGTCGAGAATAGCGTTGATACCATACACAAGCCAGTGACACCATATCATAAATACCTTCAAACATATCCCCGGTGCCCTCCCCGTTCCGCCGCCTATGCTTACATTCAATACAACGGCATGCTTATCCAGTCCATTCATAGGTAGGTATGTAGCGAGATGTGTCCACTGTCCAGTATCCTCGATCGCAGACCGGTCACCATTTGTCAGCGGTCGGCGATCGACCGATATCGTTGAGTCGATCGAGAAACCATTACATCAACTATCCTTTATTGACACCGAGTAAACCAGTTCAAACAGGCAGGGACACTTGGGGCACACAAACTTACATAGCACAGCCGAATACACCGCTGGCACCCGTGATTCACGGACGCCTACCACGACAGAATCTTGGCAGGGCAAGGGCAGCTGTCGCCACCGTTCCCCGACACAGCAGTGGTCCAACGAGCAGCACCACAGTTTACTGAAGTCGAGAAGCGCAGTCCTGGTCACCGGGTTGTCCGGGCTGCCCCTACCTGCCGATGCGCCGTCAGATCCGTGGAGACGGAGGTCCAAGCCCATCTGGGGCCGCACGTCGAGCAGGTCTGCAACAAACGATCGAAAAAATCAACGACACATTGCTGACCTGACTTTAGCATAACCTTAACAGATTTTGTGTCTAGTTAAACTGGTTTTAGTACTGAGACTAAACCGCACCCTCTGTCACGTACTATCATGCAATAAGACTGATGCAGGTGACTTTGATGGTAAGTTTGCAGGTTTTAAGGCAAAATAGGCCAAACACAAGCATTGACTAAATCGTTTGGAGCACTACATTGCGTCGTTTTCGCTACCTGAGGTTCTTCACACAAAAATAATACCAATGCCTGCTTAGTATGCACTGCCGGAGACAGATTTTGCTTACCCACTCTACGTTGAATGCCATGCGGACGCGTTGCACCGTCGGTGGGCAGGTCTGTCCACAGTGGCAGCGGACCCGTGCCAGCTCCAGCAGCCCGTCCAGGCACGGCTCTGTCAGCACTGCCGTCCGCACCGGTAGCCGACGGCAGTCACCGCCACCCTCCCGGTCTCCGTCAGAGTCATCAACGTCACCGTCAGACACAGACTCCTCCACTGTCTCCTCCTCAGTGCTTGGTTGGATGTCACGTTCCCGCTGGCCATCAGACGTGGACATCTCTGACGGTCGTTCGTCGGCACTGCAACGGGTTTGAAGATTAGCAACGTTGGTGATGGGGTAGTGTCGAAGAACGCCCTGATTAAGGCATAATGACCAGCAACGCGAACGATAACAACGAGGTAACAAGAAACGCCTTTTTCGTGGCTGCCGTGCAGACTGCTGGCGAGAGAAAGAGATGAAAGAAAGAAAGGCCGGTATTGGGTCAGCAATATAATGATGATTCTTAAAACAAACACTTCTCCAGTTGAAATTCGTGACTGCCATGCAAACTGTTGATAAAAGAAAGAGAAAAAAGAAGCATTGACCGGTTTTGGTCAACACTTATCGTGATGCTCTTGCTCCTCAACCCTCGCACTTACACTGGAGAGTGGGGGGTCGGACTGGATCCCATCGGTTTTAGAAGAATAGCTCGCGCAAAAAGCGGCCGATCACGATTCAGGTTTCAACACCCTAGAGCTGATATTTTACAACTATACCCGGAAAATCTCATGACCATGACCCAAGTGATCTTATACCTGTGACCTATTTCTGGAGACCATGTTTTGCCGGAATCGCGATTCGGCAGGTGCTTACGTTTTCTGCGCAGTTCCAGCCTTTTTGTGGTTGTAAACGTTCAAACGTGTGAAATGATGTTGGCCCCATGCATCATGGTGGGTATCAAGGTCATGTGAAGATCAGGCCAAGCCCATTGACCTTTGAGGACCTTGGTTCACTTTTTGAGACCACATGCTTTAAGGGCATTTCTTTTCGCTCTCGAGTGCTTTTCTAGCTGGGAACCTGAAAAACAAAATGGGATGACTAAATCAAACCAGCCAAAAATTATTGAAAATCAAGGATGCTCTCAAAGAAACTTCTGTTTTTTTTTGGGGGGGGGGGGGCGGGTTGCACTCCGGCATTCCAACACTACGAAAAGTGGCGAATTTTGAGCTAGCACTGTTAGCACTAAAAGCATAATTAACACCACAGTCCACAAGCAGAAATTCCACCAATCAGCGTCAGACTCGACTCGACGCTCATTGGCTGATAATACAGCGACTCAGTAACGATTTTGGGGGCCAGAGCGTTTTAGCGTTTGAGGTTACCTATGGAAGCATGGGCCATGGGCGGTTCTGTTCTGTTTAGGACTTCATTCTAATGCTATTCAGGCCGGTCAGCTAAAAATTCCAATCATTTGTGATAAATTTAGTTCATACTTCTACTGGTCCAATCATTTTATTTCCTTTCTCTTGAAACACTTCGTTGGAAATTGAGTTTAAAGATTAGCACTCATGCTAAATTTGTCCCATTACCATGGCAACCTGAAATTGTTTGGTCCCGAAAGTCGCAGTTTATAGCTAACAAGTATATTCTTTTGGGTAAATTTTTGAACAATTTGCATATGCATAAATGATGACAGGCGGCATGATTATGCAGTATGCTCGAGGCACGTCCATGGTCAAAATAATAGATAAAGCCCCATTTGAATAATTCGAGCAGAAAGACACGATGACCACCCCTCAAGCAAAAAAAAAAGATTCTCATAAATCGGTTGCCAGTTCTCACCTGCTTCCACTCCACCGCCGTTTACCAGCTCGCAGCTGGTGTCCATGCGGTGTTGACACCAGCGGCGCAGCTGACGTCGCCGACGTCTCCGGCGTCGGCAGAGTCGACGCCACGGCCGTCGCTGGATGGTCCAGTGCCGCGGATGGTCCAGCTGGTGACGGCGTCACGGCCGTCGCTGGATGGTCCAGTGCCGCGGATGGTCCAGCTGGTGACGGCGTCAGGGGTTCCGCGGAACTCGCAGGTGACGTCGCCGTCGCAGGTGACGTACCAAGGTTCTGAAATCACAGTGCAGAGAGAGGTTGGTGAACTACCAGAGTGTTTACCCGTGCCCTGCTGGGGGGGGGGGGGGCGTGCCAATAATGTCTTTTTGTTCCAATGGGGCGGATTTGCAAGCCTTCGCCCCATCAAAAGACGGCACAATTACAAAACAACGCACAACGTCATAACGTCACAGGCACTCATCTCCATACTATTGACTGACGCACCACCCCAAGGTCACATGCACTTGGCCCATGCCGAAAAAAAGATATTGTAACATTAGAACACATTGTGTCACATTATAAGCGTCCTTCTCTTTGTCAGTGGCGCCCAGCTCTGCACCACATACCGCCCCATGGGTAAGCCGCCTCTCACTCAGACAAATAATAGAACCACCCCACCGGCACGCGATTACGCGTTCGAGCAAAATATGGCCGTCCGCACCAGCTGCTTTCGCGTCTAACACTACCGCTGGAATTCTCTCGGCCACGGAGCGCGCTTACCTTCGAGGGTACAGCCTCCGGCTGGAGGAAGCGATTTGGGGTGTAATCGCTGTCAACAAAATGCATGCTGCACACGTAGAGAGTCTTATCGGCCGATGGGAGGCCCAAGGCATCCAGCCACGCCTGGCGCCTGCTGTCTCCAGCCTTGGGCATCCTATGGAGCAAAGGAGCAGGACACAATGCATCTCATATAATTTTTCTGAAAAAGTCAAATTCTAATACTCTGCCACAATGAAGACAAATTCTTGGTAATAAAGCAGGTGGTTTCTCTGTGCATTTACATTTGTGCCACAATAAATGGCGACAGCCTACATAGGTTGTTACGAGCGAGCAAGCGAAGCGAAGTCTTTTCAATACTAGATGCAGGCAGCGCTCGTGCGTTGCCTTGGACCAGAATTGGAGGGATGGTGCCGAGAGCATGCCGGGCCAGGGAAAAAACAATAAGTTAGGTCTTGGGGGTAGACTGAAAGATAACCGAGACCTTTTGAGACTGTAATGTAACGAACTGAAACGTCTAAAAAATTATTAAAAGCACGTGAAATTGATATGGAGATCTACCTACAGTATAGGATATGAATTCATTTCATTGCACGTGCAAAGTGAATGTCCCAAGCACCCCGGTTCATTCATTTTCATAACATACTGTAGAGTGTGTCTAGTTCTAGCAGTGTGCCGATTTTGTGTCGATAGCTGAAAAAAATCCCGAAGTCAGAGGACCCCTTGTCAAAAAAAGTTACAGTTCTCTCGCTCGTTCGGTCTTCGCCCAAAAGGCGTTTATCTGGTAAAATATAACCCTCATGATAATGTATTTCAAATACTGCAATGACGGTGGCGAGATCACATACCTGTGTAGTTTCCATTTTGCACCCTGCGTATGTTGGGGCTTGTAATCGAAGTGTTGCTTGCATGTCTTGACACAACAACGGTTTACCATGTTGCTGCTGTAAAAGAGAAGCTGTATTTGTCATTTTAAAGTTGTTACACAATTAATATTAACAGGTGCAGCATGACAGCTTTCAGCATTACTGAAAAACGTAGCTGCCACGTTTTTCAGACTGGGTCAGGTCAACGGTCGCTGAATGGTGATTGACAAATACTAATTTTCTATAGCTATTTATAATTATAAGCATTCATATTTAAAGGAAATACCTAGCTCACTTTTAACATGGGGTTTTGAACTGGAATAGCAGTTTCGTAGCTTGAGCTGAGACTAGCACAAATCAGTAGCTTTTACGGCTCAACGATCACCCTAGACGAAGACATTCCATTTCTCGTTCCGAAAAGAGTGCCTTGCAGAGGAATGTGTGCCTTGCACAGGAATGCAGCCACGTCATCGTCAGCCAATCAGCATGCTGCTTACAGCCAATGCAGCATGCGTAGGTTTGAACTACGCACTATGATTGGTCAACGCGTAATAAGCTTCCGCGTCAAACATTATTTTACATAGAATATAGTTCGTCCTATATTAAAATATAGAAAATAATTGTTTTTACAAAAAGCTTTTATTTTATTTTCTGATCATTTTGAGCATAACAAATCATAAATCCATAGCAAAATACTAATTTCAGGAAAGTGAACTGTTTCCTTTAAATTATTTATTCCTGGTTTGGTCATAGCCCTGCTCACTTCAACTGTTTATTGGTCGATCCAGGGGGATGTCACTACTTTGCTTCGCCATAGGTCCAGTACTGATATCGTCGGTTTCGATCCCGGTGACGTCAGTGCTGTCTACATCCGGGAACTTATTGCACTTGGTTCTCATTATAGGTGGCCATATTGTTTTGTCTCGTGACGACACATTTGCGTCATCGGGATCGAAACTGGCTGTAAACAAATCGCTCAGTGTCGCTACCTACTATAGTTCGTTTTTCTTAAGTTTGCCCCTCACTGTAAACGTCTTTTTCAACACAGCACGAGAATAGGGTCCGGTACACCGTTAGAGATCAAGTGTCTAAATTACACTTCAATTCACCCTGAATCCAAAAATACACATCTGAAACTTCCCAAAATTTAATTTGATGATATATAAGCCAAACAATTTTATGCCCTCAGGGTGTAAATGCTCGTGACGTCACTAGGTAGACATCGGATTGGCGCACTTCATACGATTGCGGCGCCATTTTTACATTGCGTGCTTGCGTTGGTTGCCCTTAGCTTGATAGCTCAGCTCAAGGCTCAGCTGTACGTTCGTGTTTTTTACTTTAAGATTCAAACCATATGTAACATTTTATTTAAAAGTTTAATTTGAATTATTTTTTCCGCGTAAACTTTGCGTATTTTTTAGTAGTTTCATTGTGTAGCTTACTAAAAAGTACATTGAAATGAATAGGTGGCGCCAGGAAATATAGCCTCAGGCGGCATGTCGTTTTAGATGCTTCCGGCAACCGTGGCGCAAGCCTTTCTGTTCTTTGTGCGGATTGATGAGGTTGGGTGGTATTAGGTGATTTTATTCTGTGTTTACAAGATATGGAGCCTGGGTTTGTCAAAGCAGATTCCAGGAATCTTCCTGATATTAACCACTTCATGGTTGTTGAGTTTTTTGCCAAATCTGATTTCTATGTGTCTGCTGAGATACGGGCCGTGAAAAACAAAAGGTAAGACAATGCATCGTATACGGAAGAGCTATTCAGCCGAAAACTTAAATTATCTGGCATGACTTATACATGTCACAATTTTGAAAGGTGTTTTTTGTAGCATTCCCCGAGGTAGGTAGGAACCTACCTGACAGGCAGGAGCAGCTCCGCAAATAGTCAACACAATCACTTTTTGCATAGTACAATGATACTTCTAAATTTGACATCTCACAAGCTATACTTAACATCTAGCAACAAATTCTATCCAAGTTAACCTGACAGGATTAAGGATATGATGTGTGCTCATTGTGACTGGTGACAAAGTTTGCAATGTGTTGATGTTTTTTTCTGTCTTTTCAGTGCGGCAAGGGCCAGTTATGGAGAGGATGCCGTAGGATACGTATGCATCAAAACCATTGGACAAGAGACGACAGTGGTTGGAAAGGTCACACCTGAGCACAAGGTGAATAACCCCCCATATCGTGTCTCTGCTGTTATCGACAACTGCAACCGTGTCATTGTGAGTGCTCAGTGTGAAGGATGCAAGGCCCAGAAAGGTGGATGCAAGCACACCATTGCATTCATCTTCTGGCTGCTAAGAAGAAGTGAGGAGGATGCTGTGACCGATGTCAAGTGCTACTGGCAGAAACCAGCTCTGTCAAACGTGAGGAACCTGCCTCCATTCAGAGTGTCTGATGAAGAACAGAAACTGAAAACTCGAGAGCCTCAGGTGCAAAGTGATGCATTCAGACAAGAAGCTGCCAACATGCTGATCCAGAGAGGGCTGCCAGTAAAAGCACAGGCTTTGAAGCTGATGGGACTGGCCAGCAGCAGCATGGACATCATGTACCTCGACCATCTGGTGGATGTGTACCTGGACACCACAGACAAGGAGAACACATCATATGCTTCCTTTCTGGCTCTCTGCAAGGACAGCATCAGTGAAGCCGACTGCAATGCCAGTGAGGTAGGGTCACGAGAGCAAAAAGACTCTCCCATGTGGCATCACCTGCGCTTTGGCAGGGTGACTGCATCCCGACTGTATGAGGTGGCGCAGTGCCATACAGCAGATGGTTCCCTGGTAGAGTCCATCTTATGTGCAGCCAAGTTTAAGGGCACAGCCGCAACAAAGAGGGGCAATGCCCTTGAGGCAAGAGTTCTTGCGGGTGTAGCAACCCACCTTGGTGAAAAGTGTTCAGGTGCTGGACTGTTCCTGAAAAAGGAGTGGGCTATTTTTGGTGCCAGTCCTGATGCAGTGATTCGGGACAGTGATGGTGGGGTCAGGGCGGTAGTTGAGGTGAAGTGTCCTGCATCACAGTCCACAGTCGGCAACTACATCAAGTCAGGAGCCATAGCTCCCAAAGTCCGGGCGCAGCTGCAGCTCCAGATGCTGCTGGCTGACTGCTGTGTGGGATACTTGGCAGTGGCATCCCCTGACTTTGAGAGCACTGGCAGCATTTATGTGTGCCGGGATACACTGTGTGAAAGTTTCTTGCTGCCTCTGATGAAGAAGGCAGAAAGGTTTTGGTACACTGCGGTGTACCCGCAGCTTGCGGCTGGCAGGCAGCTGGTTCCCCAGTGATGGGTTGGGGTCTAGGGATGAGGAGGTACCTTTGCTATGACTGTTGATATCTGAAACATGCTGGGTATTGGTCTAGACCTTGCGTGTAACTATGCAATGTATGATGAAAATTAGTACTCTTTCGTAGTTATGCTGTGGTCAGAAATTGGTGTAACAAAGCGAATGGTGTGTCTGTGTTTCATGTATGCTGCCATTGATTGCTCGATTGTGCTGTACATTATGAAACGAAGTGCCACGTTTCCCATGAATCTCAAGTATCAAATCTACCTTACGATTTGTGTTGTGAGAGTCTGTGAGCTGTTGTAGGCTGTTCCTTTTTGGCATCTGCTTGAAGCTGATGCAAGATGAATGCATACAATAAAAAGGTATTGTACATTCAGCTATCTTGGATGTTTCATACTGTACAAGTATTGGGTTTGGGGGCAGCTGTGCAGGGGGTTTAGACGGTCGCGACATCACAGTGTGAAATATCTACCAGAGATGTTTTGTCAGCTAACATGAACTCATCAACTAGGACTCATTCCGTAACGCAAAGAAAGGTTTAAAACTCGCTGGCATGTATTGCATACATCTCCTCAGTCCTCACTCACACCCAGTCACACTTTTGTCAGGTCATGCTGCAGGTTTACAAATCCACAAACAGTTTTCAGCACCCTGTTCAAGCAAGGTACCACAACACACTCCACAACCGCATGGGGCTTCACCATGGCAAACTCACGAATCCTGCGGATTGCTCTTTCCACATGCACTCTGAGACTGGCAACCTGTTTTGAAAACAATACGCGGTGAGCCTCAGGAATGTCAGCACTGCCCACAGAATCTGGTCTAATGAGGTAGCACGCTTTCGCTCGCAACAGTGGTTCAATGCTTTTGAAGCCACGATCAGCCATTACCACCATTCCCGGTTCTAAACAGTCCATAAACCCAGAATCCTGCAAGATTTGAATGTCAGATGTTCGGCCTCCATATCCCCCAGACACAAAATTAAACATTCCACTAGGGACGATGGAGACAAGATACTTCACAGTATTGCAGCTCTTGTATGATGAATACGTCTTTGACTGCTTCAATGCTACTGACGGCTTTTCAATCTCTATTTCTAAACAGTCTATGATGCAAGTTACACGGCTGAAACGAGCCTTGAATGCCAGTGGAATATTTCTGTATATGTCCCTACGTTTTGGCCAAAATACAAATGCCTGCATATGGCCCGAAATTTGGGGGAGGACTCCGCGCCACAAACGACAAGCATATGACCTGGAAATTCCAAAATCATCGGCTATGAGCTGAAACGGTCTGTCCTGCTTGAGTTTTACCATGACAAGGCAACATGCATCAAATACAGTCAGCCTGGACTGCCCTCCACAAACACCCTTTACTTTTGTGGCAACAAACTCAAGCATGAGAAATCCCTCTTCATTTAAGCCCATGTAACTCTTAGGGTCCTTCCTACACAGACCACGCATCCTTTCTAAGTTTGCAATGTTAATGCTACCAACATCATCAAATGTATCCTCATCAGAGTCATCATCTGGTTGATATGAGTCATCACTATCATGATTACCATGCTCCATCCCATCATCACTATCCCTGCTACCATACATGGAGTGATCAGTCTGTGTATGAACAGAGAACAGAGGCCTCTCAATGCTCTGTGTACTTGCATCACAGTTTTCAACTTCCACCTGCGTGCCCACATCTTCTGAAGTTGAAGATTGAGATGCTGCATCTGCTGCTAGAATGTCTTGTTCTTGGGCTCGTGCAGACTCACCAGTTTCAGTATCAGTCTGTGAATGGAAAGGCACAGAGTTAACTCATTGACTGAGGTTTAAAGCTAACCAAATGGATATTGAGACCAGTGCTTAGAAGCTGCTAGTATTTGTGCATGCCATGGCACATACTTTAAATGTTGATATGAGATGCAAAATGACAAAGGGATACAAAGTACATACCTCCTTGTCAGTGCAGTCCTCCAAAGCTGCAGTCAAAGTTCTTTGTTGATCACGCTTGGCAGCAGCTGCACGAACCCGCTCCTGATGTCTGCCTTGGCATTCAAACTTGTGAGGCAGGATTCCCTTCTTGAGCAGCAAGCGCCCACCAACCATATTGAAACGTTGCCAGTTGGTTGTGTCATTTTCCAGCTGAAAAACAACATTAGTTTTTTTCTTAATGCACAATATAACAGCCATATACATTTGCCCAGACACAATTCGTGCTGATGTTTTCTGCTTTCAGCAGGATGCAGTGACGTTAGAGTAACATTGAGTTCATGAAAGGTAAAGTTAACAATGGATGACGATTGGTGACAGTGCAAGTCAATGAAATGTCAATGCACTTTTCTTTCACCCTTGATAAAAGACGGCATCAACACAGCCTGCGTGCCATTAATTAACAGATTAACTACCAGTTAACATTCATGCCAAGACACCGAGACGGTATGAGGATTCACACTGATGCACAAACATCTCAATGCCATTGCATTGTTCCATATGACAATGATAGGTAGGTAGGTACTAGGTACTCACATCAAAATGGTCCTCACAGCAGAACCATGGTGCTGTTGAAGTAATTGCATTGGCATCTTCACGCCTAGCCATTTTCGCCCATTGCCTTCTGGCAGGAATCTGGCGTGGAACTGGCAAAAATATTTTACCTGCCATTCTAGTGCTCGTATTCTCGCATTTAGGCACAAAACACCACTTGCGCCCCGAAGCAGCACTCATTTCTTGGCTCCACAGGGCACAGACTGTATCAAATGGATGAAACTGTGATGCGTAAACGGCCTGAAATATCCAAGCACTCTTCCCGATTAAAAAAGGGTAAATGTGATACCGTAATTCGCAAACACACTTATCAATACCAATCACCAACCAATGCCATCTCCAAATACAATCATCGACAGCCTTGGCCTTGGCCGCCGCAAGACAACACAACAGTGCAAATCCGGCGCGTATACCGAGTGACGTCATGGAACATCTGCCAATCAGCATCATAAATTTTGATGACGTTTTTTACAGAAAAATGTCAATTTTTTCACCAAAACAAGACTGTTATCCTCCAACAACCCAATAAATCGACTTCCTAAATCAGGACTTACTTATACATATGAAAATCTTTACCACTTTTTGGGGAGTACCACACCCTATTGCTAGCTGAATTACTGAGAAAACTGGTTGGCGCACATTGTATTGGAGATATGAATAATATTTTCAAAATAAGTTTTGAACACCGACGATGTAACGTTAATGTTAAACGCCGTGCAATTTATTGATTAGTTCAGACATAATTCCTGAGAAGTTGTCTATCACTGTGGAGCTATAGGTATGGGTAAATACGAGCTATGAGTCTGTGAAATAGTAAACAAATTTGATAAAAGTGATCGTCTGTGAAATCTGGTGAAATCAATGTGCGCCAACCAGTTTTCTCAGTAATTCAGCTAGCAATTCTCGTGCTGTGTTCAAAAAGACGTTTACAGTGAGGGGCAAACTTAAGAAAAACGAACTATATATATGGCCTTGGGTCGATCAATATTTGGATTTGCGCCTAGTAGTTTCCCAGTCTGCGAAGCATTGCAATTTTGACAAAAGCTCGTCGGTGCAGGTTTGTTCAGCTGGTGCTGATCTGGTGCGGCGTGGTGCGGATTTGGCTGGTGGGGCAGATCTAGTGTAGCCCAGTGGCCAGTGTCCCAAGATTTGGGTGGAAAGTGAAATCCTTGTGAAATTGAATAGTCCACTCGGTCCACTCTCACCTTTAATTTTCCAGGACAATTTTCCCTCCCAACTTTAACAACTAAGATCATCCGCATGTACATTTGCTGGCTGGCTTGTATCTACATTCAAATTCCATTAAATTATCGCAGCTCCCACATCCTGTAACATTCACATCATGGGCGCCGCCACCGGGGGGGACGGGGGGGACGCGTCCCCCCCCCACTCTCAGAATGGAAGGGGGACGTCCCCCCAAACTCATTACGGAGCGAGCGAAGCAAGCGTATAGTCTTGCGTAGGTTAACGGAAATTTCTGAGTATGCCGTGGTCACGCTTTTGCTAGGCTTATATCTCAGCAACCACTTGACCGATTTACATGCGGTAATTTTTGTAGGGTAGCACTAGATTCATTCCTTCTAACAAGCATCGGACTATTCCCGATGCATGTGAGTGACCCCATATGCACGCGCCACGTGAAAAACGAAGAGGTGTCAGTTTTGTAACAATTTCAATATCTCGGCAACTACTGGGCCGATTGCGCTGAAAGTTGGCATGTATGTAGGTAGGTATACCCACTAGGCAATGCATATCCATGTGCCACAGTTGGGGTGCTGCTGCACGTGCGCACATGCAGGGGTCGATTCCAGATCTCGAGAACGGCTGAACCGATTGTCCTGAAATCTGATACATGGTTAGGGACCGGTTAGTAGGGTGCCGTGCAAAAGTCATTTGGGACCCATTTTGCATGTGCGCACGTGCAGGGTGCCGCTTCCAGATCTCGAGAACGGCTCTGCCGATTGCACTCAAATTTGGCACATCGTTAGGGACCGGTTAGAAGGGTGCAGTGCACAAGTTGTTGGAGGTATCCCCTCGCAATTTCGCACGTGCAAGGCCCACCCTCTCGCTCGCTCCGTTGGTCGCCCCCAAAAGGCGTTTTTCTGGTTGTTATCCTACTCGAAATTTGATTAGGCCCTTCGGTCCAATGAGACCATTTCAGAGCCGCAAGTATGAAAGAATTAGTGGGAGACATTGGTCGGGGCAGCCACCCCAGTGAGCCACTTGGGATGAACCCGACCAATTGAACAGGCAGCCCAGCCCACTGGCACTCACTGCACCCGGCAAAGGACTATAGCTCCAGTGGAGCCATTCCCGCATGGGATAGAGTTGCCCGTCCAGCCCGGAGCAGGGTGTTGCGGCGTGGAGGAGAAGGATTTGACTGTCATGAGGATGGAAGAGATGGAACGGCCGGTGCCGAATCTGAGAGGGTCCAGGAGGTTTAGATACTCAGTATATGGGGTGTGGGCCTACAGGCATTGGTCTGACCCCTGCCACCTCGGCCAACAAAATCTCCAGCTCTTATCCGACCTGTCATCGCGGAACTGCCGATTTTTGATATCGTGATCAACGTGTGTCGTATAACACGACTGGCCGAACACGGGCCTAATATATTTCGTCTAACCAGCCAAGAGCATGACTTTACACCAATCCGACCTCGAAGTCAAAATCCGAACATTTTCGAAGACTTCAACTCCGACTCTGGCCAAAACTGGCCAAAACAGTCAACTCCGACTGATTCCGGCTCCGACCCCACACTTCTGCAGTCACGCTACACTAAATTTCCAGCTTCTAAGAAATAAGCTATACGGTTGACAGGACCACAAAACTTTGAGGCGACTTGACTACTTGACTTGGTTTTCCTGACCTAGGTTTTCTGGTATCAAGCTTGTTACACGGGCTGCAAAATTCGTATTTTGGAGCAGTTTTGCCTAATGTTTTTTTTTGCCGATTTTCGCGGCGCTTCGCGCCGATTCGTGCACAAGCCAAGAAGAGAGATTTGTGACTATACAACGCCCCCTCCCCCCACGGTTCGTCGGAAGGTCATCTCAGGCTCAAAAGAAACGATATATACCATTCGAAAGCTGACGGTGAGCTGAATCCAAAAATGTAATTTTTATCAAAATCGATCGATGGCCTTTTTTGAAAATTGCGTTTTTGTAAAAACTTTATAATTTTTATTCAACGGGCTGTCCTGGACATTCTTGAAAACATAAACATGTATTTTTGAGTTCCAGTAAAAGCTGAACGCCTAAAGAACAATATTTAGCGAAGCAATATTTCCAAACATTGATATGCGTCTCCCACAGCCGACAATAAGGCGAAATTACACAGCTCAGTGTCACGATGGACCAAAGTCAGCCACACAGAAGCGTGAACTGACCCTTATCGACTCACAGACCCGGCGCTCTCGGCCTGCCTGACCGGCCACGGCAAGGAGGTTCGGCTGTCGTTCTACTAAACAGACGTCATAATTGTTGGTTTAACGATTCAAGTCGGTACTTGAGTTATTCAGGATACATGAGCAGAAGATTTATTGCTCTGTCATCTTCACACCATGCATTGATTTGCATTTGTTCATGTCTACTTTGCTCAATTGAGCTTGGTATCATGCCCATATAAGGAAAATTGGCCGCGCTGAAATGTCAGAGGCTGTACCGGCCTCAGCTCGGGTGGAGTGGGGGTAGCGCCCGGTGGGGCAGGGTAACCTTTGACCGGTCGCACGGCCGAGCAGCTGTCACCAGTACAGCCTCTGACGGTGAAACCCCGCTCACTTCCCCTGTGCGGGCACTGAGCGCAGCTGGATGGAACAAAACATGCATAAGAAAAATGTAAATTAAAGCATGTTGTAAATCAAGCAGAACAACGCATTTTCTTCACAGGTATCCTGAATAACTTTAATAGCAATGTAGACAGTTAAACTGACAAATATGGCATTTGTTTAGTAGAACGAGAGGCGAACGTTCTTTCCGTGGCTGGTCGGGCGGGCCGAGAGCGCCGGGTCTGCGAGTCGATAAGGGTCATTTCACGGTTCTGTGTGGCTGACGTTGGTCCATCGTGACACTGAGCTGCGTGATTGCGCCTTATTGTCGGCTGTGGGAGACGCACATTATTGTTAGGAAATATTGCTTCCCTAAATATTGTTCTTTTGGCGTTCAGCTTTCACTGGAACTCGAAAAAAACATGCTTATTTTTTTAATAATGCCCGGGACAGCCCGTTGATTAAAAAATTATAAAGTTTTTACAAAAACGCAATTTTCAAAAAAGGCCATCGATCGATTTTGATAAAAATTACATTTTTGGATTCAGCTCACCGTCAGCTTTCGAATGGTATATACCGTTTCTTTTGAGCCTGAGATGACCTTCCGACGAACCGTGCCCCACGCGGGTATGCAATATGCATTACTTATGCAATATGCATTATCGATCATATTAGTGGCATACATCAGCAATTATACCGTGATAGAACACGAGGCTTTGCCGTGTCAAACTGAATCGGACATCAGATGTGTATATAGGTAGGTACTCGGTGGGAATGCGGTCTATAGCCATTACTTTAAGGAAATCCCTACCAAGCATAGTACGTTCAAACCAGCTGAATGCTGATTGGCTAGCATTTTTCCGTAAGGGAATGGATTCCTCGGTAAGAGAATGACAAAGTATAATCTATGGGAATGACTTCAGTCTTCAAACCTAAAATCGATACCGATATATTTGGCTAGGGTGATCGTTGGGCCATAAAAGCTCCTGATTTGTTATCGTCTCAGCTCAAGCTACAGAACTGTTACTTCAGTTCAAAACCCTATGTTAAAAGTGGCATATTTGCTTTAAACGTTGAATGCATCCGACCGAAAAAGCCACGGTAAGAATGTCTACTATTGGGTTTTCAGTCGGTCAGTCCGTCCCCCCCCCCCCCAGTCAAAAATCCGTGGCGGCGCCCCTGATTCACATAGAAAATGGTGATCATGTTTTCATTCTTCTTTGTATCTTTCTGACTGGCAATTTTCCACTTTCAGTCCTCTTTGTAGTGAGGAATTTTACCCTCGAACACCCAAGCCAAAATATCCCTAATTTTGGGACACTGGTGTAGCACAGTGCAGATTTGGCTTGTTGATGGACATCACAGACCAGACGAGATACATGAGGAAAATTGAAAAACATTGCTGAAGCTGAAGCCATACTTTGCAGCCGTGCTGCAGCCATGCTGCAAAGTATCGCTCGCATGTCGACGAAGCGCACTAGCCCAAGTTCAAAATCCGCACCAACCCTTCAAAACCGGAAAATCCACACCAATGCGGGCTGAGGGTAAAAGATCCGCACAGAACCCAAAAATGACCAGCAGTTGCACACTCATTTAAACCCAGGGGACACTGAATTACACATAAAAGCTGCAGCAATGTTTTTCGATTTGCCTCATCAATATCGTCTTACCTTACCTTACCTTCACAGTGATCGGGAGGGAAAAGGCCACTTGGCCTGGAGATCCCGTTCTCATCGAGCTCTAGGACTAGGACAGTCTGGGCTCTTATGGGTACGGAATGTCATACTTCAGGCTTTTCCAGTGTTCGTCCAGCCTGGCCTTGAACTGGTTGACGCTGGTGGCAGACACTACAGAAGCTGGCAGAGAGTTCCAGTCATTCACGACTCTTGTGCTGAAGGTGTTCCTCCTCGTGAGCGTCCTTGCGTTCGGTTTCTGCAGCTTCCACTGATGTCCCCTTGTGCGGTCGGAGCTGTGTCTGGTCGGAAGCGCTTCAGGAGCCACTGACATGCCACCATGGAACAGCTGAAACACTGTCACCATGTCCCCTCGGCGACGACGATAGAACAGCGACGGTATGTCGAGTCGGCGCAGACGCTCGGTGTATGGGAGATGTCTGATGGTGTCAACCATGCGAGTCGCTCGACGTTGTACCCGCTCCAACCGTTTCTGAATGACTCTGCCAAATGGCCCCCATACAATGTTGCCATACTCGAGGAACGGTCTCACCACAGACTTGTACAGCAGAGGCAGCGTGATTGCGTCGAGAGTGGCAAATGAGCGCCTCACAACAGCCAACATCTGGGTCGCTTTTGCAATGGCAGCAGCAGTTTGTTGGTGGAACTTCAGGTTCTCGTCGACAATGATGCCCAGATCCCTCTCTTCGCTCACGCTCTCAATCGCGGCGTTATCCAGTAAGTATGAGTGCTCAGGATTCAGACCTCCGACATGCATCACTTTGCACTTCGACACATTGAAGGGCAACAGCCACTTCTTCGACCAGTTGACCAGAGCGTTGATGTCAGCTTGAAGGCCGGCAGGGTCACCTGTCACACGACGGTAGAGTTTTGTGTCGTCTGCAAACAGCTTGACACAGCTCGACACTTGCTGGGGCATGTCATTGACGAAAATCGTGAAGAGGGTGGGACCAAGGACCGATCCCTGGGGGATACCGCTGGTGACGGGGACCCAGTCAGACCTCGATCCCTGCAGCACAACCCTCTGAGTACGACCAACAAGGAAAGCCTCAATCCAACTCAGCAGCTTCCCCCCGACTCCATAGGCGCGCAGCTTACTGAGGAGTCGCTGATGCGGCACCGAGTCGAAGGCTTTGGCGAAGTCGAGGTATACGACATCAACTGGGTCACCATCTTCCAATGCAGCACTCCAATCTTCCATCACCTCCAGTAGCTGACTGGAACATGATCTCCTCGGGAGAAATCCGTGCTGAGCCGCATGCAGCAGGCCACTGTCCGTGAAGTGTTGAAGAAGATGGTCGCGGATGATGGACTCGAGCACCTTTGACGGAATGGAAGTAAGGCTCACTGGTCGGTAGCTCGCGGGGTTTCTGCGGTCGCCTTTCTTGTATATGGGGACTACTTCACCAATCCTCCAATCAGAGGGGAGACTTCCTGCTTCCAGTGATTTTGCGAATAGCAAACTCAAGGGCACAGACAGGGGACTTGCAGACTCGCGGAGCACTCGGGGATGAATAGCATCCGGCCCTGGCGAGCTAGTTGGCTTCAAGACCGCCAGCTTAGCCTCAACTTTCTGTGGCGATACATCCACGTCAACCAGTGGGGGTCCCTGGAAGTTGCATGGCAGAGCTGGGGGAGGCTCAGCTCCCTCTGAGGTGTAGACGCTGGAGAAGAATCTGCTTAGTACTTCAGCTTTTGCTTGGTTGCTGGACACAAGCTCACCGTTTTCATCCATCAGGTCTTCGACACGGCACCTGGTACGCAGTCTGGAGTTGGCGTATCTCCAAAATGCTTTGGGGTTCTGTCTGAGGTTCGATGCCAGCTTTGACTCGTGGTCCCTTCGAAGTTTTCTCGTCAGGCCCCTAAGCTGATTTCTGCACCTCACGAACCGGGCATGATCCACGTTGTCGAGAGTTTGACGGTAGACGCCCCACAGCACCTGCTTCCTCTTTCTCAGCTGCTTCGCCGCCCGATTCATGTAGAGATTCTTCCTGGAGTGGGCGTTTCTCTTGACCGAACAGTCTTCTACGTCTCCGGTGATTCGCGACTTGAACGATACGTATGCTTCTTCCAGGTCCAAGTTTCTGATATCGTCCCAGTTTCGTGCCCTCAGGACACCTGCAAGGCGCTCGTAGTTGATGTGTAGAATCGGTGGGCGGTGTGAGGTACACACATCCGCATAGCAAACAACAGTAAACTTCAGGACAACATGATCGCTTTTGGCGAGTCCAGGAAGGTGCTCGAGATTACGAATCATGCCTTCTTCGTTGGTAAACACCAGGTCCAGTACATTTGGAGTTTCACCCAATCGAAATCTAGTAGGAGAGCGGACGTGCTGGAAAAGGTAGCAGTCATGTATTGTGTCGAGAAAAGTCTGAGAAAGATGGGTGTCAGGTGCGTTGGATGCTTCGGTTTCCCAGTTGATCTGGGGAAAGTTGAAATCTCCTACAATCACCCGATGCGAGTAGGACATCGAGCTTGCCTGTCGAATGAGCTGACCCAGGTGAGTGGCATGCTCTTCATCAGATCTGGACGGACTGCGGTAAACGCATCCCAGCAGCAGACAGTCACTCCCAATCAGTGACAGTCTAATAAGCCACACATGTTCCACTGACGATGAGCTGAGAGAGACTTCTGACACCCTGAGATAATCAGCTGCGTAGATGCATACTCCTCTTATGCCGCTGCATCCAAGATTAGGAGATGATAGCGAGAAATTGGTGTAGAGTGTGTATCCAGGTACGTGAAGGAGAGCGGGGGCTATGGGAACTTTTTGGGCCTCAGGAATTGTCTCTGTTACCATAATCAGGTCAGGCTCGTCATTACAGATGAGCATGCACATGTCATCCCGCTTACTCACGAACTGGTCAGCATTTGTGTATAACACACACAGACCCCTGGGCTTGTGGCTAGCTGGAGGCTGACCTAGTCACTTCTGCACAGCAGGGGCAGAACTGGCCTGTGTTGGGGTGGTGAGTGGTCGTTGCACAGCCTGTGCCCTGCCGTCACCACCGGGGACAGCTGGGGCGCGTGTAGATTCTCCACTTTGAGCCTCTCCATTAGATGTTGCCTGTGCTTGTGCCCCACTGCCACCAGAGAGGACAACAGGAGCCCTACTGCCTCCCTCCACCACGCCAGCGGGTACCTGTACAATTTTCCCCCTCTGATTGTCAAGTTGGCTTCACCAGCCTTTCTGCGAGCTGCCATTTCTGCTCTCAACTTTTTGCCAGTCTCCCTTTCTTTCTGGGTGAGGTCTGGGGTGATATATATGTTCCCATACTGTTCGGAATGTCGGAGTTGGGGGGCCCCTTTCAGGATGTCATGTTTGCAAGCAGCATTTTCTAGAGTAACTATCAGTAGTCTTGGCTTGTCCTCATACTTCTTACCAACTCTGAATGACTTTGATGCTGGAGCATGGATCTTCATGACATCTTTCAGAATGGTGGTGAAGAGGGCTATGTCTTTAGCCGACCTTTCGCCCACTGTGCTGCCGTCCTGTTCAGGGAGATTGTGTATTACAACGTTTGCTTTGCGTCGCTCCTTGTCCAAGTGGTCATCCAGCACCTTTGACAACTCCTGCACATTTTTCCTTTCACTAACCACATTTGCTTTGGGGAGCATGGCTAGCTGAGATTTCACCACATTTGCAATCTCGCTACATGTGCCCTTAACAGTGTCAGCGTACGAAGCTTTGTGTTGCAACTTGCATGACTGACTGTTCGACAACTTTGACTTGTTCTTTGGCCTTTTTTGCATACTCCTGCAGGGACTTTTCCACCTGGTGAGCATGTTCCTTCATGGTTTGCTCCTGAGCCTGGACTGGTGATGTCACAGGATCAGGCGCGGCACTCGATGACACCGTTCTGAGGTATCTGATGGAACCAGGTAGCACAACCTGAATATTACCACTCCAGATACCTATTAACCAGTCATACGTCTGTGCTTTGGGAATTCATTGCATTTGGGATGTTTGTGGAACAAGTTAATACTTTAAAGAATGGAAATAGCTAACCCTTTATTGAAGACTCGGTGTATTGATGAATGATTGGTGTATTGGAGTATTATTGAATGACTCGGTGGAGTGGTTGCGGACTGCGGAGATACACACCTTGCATAAGTGTGAATACTGCCGGCCGGCCGGCCGCTAATGATACTCAGAAGTCAGAAATGTCTGCTATTCTATGAATGACTTCCCTTCGCTCGCTCGAAATAAGCTATTAACTAGAAAAACACCATAACAAAGAAACTAAAAATGTTATAATTACACTACTCAATTTCTAATAGCAGGCTAAAAAGCATGCTACTTACATCTTACAAAGACGCCTGACTGCAGTTCCGCTGGTGCATGCCATCGACTTGCACACCTGCTGGAGCTCCTGATGTCCTTTGGTTGACAAGCACACCCGTCTCGCGTTTCGAGCCGCACTTGTGACCTTGGTTCGCCTCACTTTTGATGTTGGTGTTAGGTTGAGAGCGCTGTAAAAATCGTACGAAATCTTAAGATGCCTGGAAATTAGTACCTAGCGGCAATCAAGGACAATGGGAAAGCTGCGCATCATGCCTCCCATTTCCCAACGTACGCGGCATTGATAATGCGGCTTTAAAGATGAACAACAGTTTGGTTATAACAACATTGATAACATTTATCATTCTATCTTTTAGCCTACTGATAAGTTGTCAATGCCTATAAGTCTATGTATAAATTATGTTAGAAAAAACAAAATAGGTTCTACTAATCAGAGCTTGCAAAGGTATATACTTATGTAGTCACTGTACCGTTTCTTGCTCGTGGAGCTCCTTTTTCCATCCACAGACAGAGGAGTGGAGGACAGATCCACGAGATGGCGAGGCACTGCGGACTGCGGACTGTTGGTCCGTGGGTCGCACATGGTGGCATCTGGCTCTGATGAACCAGGACGACCATCAGCCACGGGCGGTCCGTCATCATCTGAGGAGTGGCTGAGATGGAGCATGCCAAATTCAGTGGAAAAAAACTCATAACTAAATGCCAACATTGTGGTTTCTTAGACAGGTGTAATTGATAGATAGTCATGGGTATCACTGAAACATCTGGACATTTCCCTAACCCAGAGATACAGAGTCCTGCTTGTGCAGTGTGCACCCTATTAGGTACCGACCAGAGTTTCATAATAACTGTGACATTCAGCTTATTGTATGCCATGACTCACTGGCTTTACAAAAAAAATGACTGAGCACTACAACAAGCATATTACAAAGGAGTCACATTACAGTTTAATCCATAATAAAAACGAAAAGGCAGTACAACAAATCTGCTATCACTCACCGAAGTCTCTTGGTAGCCATGCGTGGCTCGTCATCATCTGATGGGGGGCTGAAACAGAGCACACAATATCCATCAACATAAACATTATATATACTTAAACCTGTATTACATTACCGTTGCATTACCATGTTACCTTGTAGGTGGTAGGTATTAGGCTTTAGGTTGTAGGTAAGGTTAGGTTAGGTTCGGTTAGAGTTGGCTTGGTCAGGTTTGATAAGAAAGCATCTCTGGGTATAGCGCCTCTCCTTGGTTGCAAAAAGAAGTGTGATGCCTGCTTGACGACTACCATTTTTTCTTGGTTGGAAAACCTTTGTGTGACGTCTGCTCTATTAATACCCAACAGACCACACATATGCCGGCTGTAGGTTGGTTGGTTCAGTGGCGCGGAAACTTCTTCCAGACTGGGGGGATGAACCATAATAGAGATCAACCTAGGGTACCCCCAAATCTAGTTTTCTCACCAGTTTTAGGCCACTTGTTTTTCAGACCTTGGCCTTTTCAACGAAAAAAAAAACGAAAATATTTGCAAAAAGGTGAGGTATTCCGTCTCAGCTCAGCTGACCGATGACGTAATGGTGTGGGCGGGACTAACAGGCGATGTAGCCCTCACTGCGCACGCGTGCTGCAGCATATTTCATTTTTGCTGCGCAGCCGAACAGCCCTCAGGTTAGATCATGTTTTTATCTTCCTCAGGCTTCATCTACACATTTACTGATAACACCAGGGCCCAATCTTACCAAATGCAGTGAATGCGCATTCACGGCATTTGGTAACATTCAGAACTATTCCACATTCACTTATTTATTCGTTCACGCAACATTCATAATCATTCATGCTATCAAAATCATTGGACAAGATTAGCATTTAGCTGAATGTAAAAAAGTTTACCTTTGATATTAGCGCTGTAAACTCCGGCCAGTCCTGCCATATCCTACTTACGGCATTGGTAAGATTGCACCCTGGTGTCAATAGCAATGTCTCATAATGATAGATGATGCAACTAGTGAGAATAAATCATAATTACCCAGGAAGGTTTTGGTCCGGTACGGCGTCATGTTTCAAGTATAGCTTGCCATTTGCTTCCACCATCTGAGTGGGGCTGAAATGTTTGCGGCAAACACGCCCTTGCTTCAGCAAAGAAGAATTTTTTCTACAATGTGTCAGCCAAACTTTTCTTCGCGTGTCGTCAATTTTGCCACCGGGAATAGCGCTGAGATCTTTCGTTCCATTGCAATTTCTTACACAGCATTTCTGACCAGGCATTGCAACAAAACTTTAAATATTTATCAAATAATCAACCATACAAAGCAAGGAGTGCATTCGAGAGCAAGAAATGCGAGAAATGACACTGTTTACATTATTTTGCGCCACAAATGAACGGCAAGCGCCAGAAACGCAGCCAAATCTTGCGATTGCGACTACGAAATTCATTATTTTGGCCTCAGAGCCTGAAGCGAAAAATACAAGCATATTTATTTCAAAAAGACTTCAGGTTTGTCGAACGGTGTTATGAGAATTTTGATAAGAGTACTGCATAAGTTTTTCAGTGATGCCGCAAAAGTGTTGTATCTATCTTCTTTTATTGTGCAGTCGGCGGGACCGATTCAAAATTGAGTCGTTGCTACTAAAATAGCAGCATATGGCGACAGATGATGAACAGGAAAAATAGTTGCGTAAATTTAGACATAAACCACCCCCAAACCATGAATATCTTTTGAAGGCACTATAGACGACCATTAACTAACTAGATGTGATGAAGATCAAATGTAATGAATACGCTCATTTTACAAAATTACATGCAAGTTCCAAAAAGTGATGTAAGTACTTATTCAACGGTCATTTTCAGCGCTCCCCGCTAACGTGACTTCAAGTTGAGATATTTGCGGCAAGGTACCGAATTGAGCAAAATGGTTTTAATTTACATTATAACTTGTTGTGTTTTGTCAGAAAATGGTCCTAACTCAGATTTTGTGGAAAAAGGTCATAATCTCCCTTTAAAGGAAACAGTTCACTTTCCTGAAATTAGTATTTTGCTATTGATTTATGATTTTTTATGCTCAAAATGATCATGAAATAAAATAAAACCTTTTTGTAAAAACAATTTTTTCTATATTTTAATATAGGACGAACTATATTCTACGTAAAATAATGTTTGACGCGGAAGCTTATTACGCGTTGACCAATCATATCGCGTAGTTCAAACCTACGGGCTACGCATACTACATTGGCTGTAAGCAGCATGCTGATTGGCTGACGATGACGTGGCTGCATTCCTGTGCAAGGCACACATTCCTCTGCAAGGCACTCTTTTCGGAACGAGAAATGGAATATCTTCGTCTAGGGTGATCATTGAGCCGTAAAAGCTCCTGATTTGTGCTAGTCTCAGCTCAAGCTACGAAACTGCTATTCAAGTTCAAAACCCCATGTTAAAAGTGAACTATTTCCTTTAACGGAAATTTATAAGTATGAGCGGCCGGCCGTGCGGACGCTTTTGCGAAGCTTATATCTCAGCAACCACTTGACCGATTTACATGCGGTAATTTTTGTATGGTAGCTTCATTCCTCCTACCAAGTATTGGACTATTCCTGATGCATGCGGGTGACCCCTTATGCACGTGCCACGTGCAAAACGAAGAGGTGTCAGTTTTGTAATTGTTGCAATATCTCGGTAACTACTTGGCCGATTGCGCTGAAAGTTGGCATGTAGGTAGGCACCCACTAGGCACTGCATGTCCATGTGCCAGAGTCGGGGTGCTGCTGCACGTGCGCACGTGCAGGGGTCGTTTCCAGATCTCGGGAACGGCTCGACCGATTGCGCTCAAATTTGGCACACAGTTAGGGACCGGTTAGTAGGGTGCCGTGCACAAGTCAGTTGGGACCCATTTTGCACGTGCTCACGTGCAGGGTGCCGCTTCCAGATCTCGAGAACGGCTGGGCCGATTGTGCCCAAATTTGGCACATCGCTAGAGACCGGTTAGTAGAGTGCCGAGCACAAGTCAGTTGGAGGTACCCCCTCGCAATTTCGCACGTGCAAGGCCCACCCTCTCGCTCGCTCTGTTAGTCGCCCCAAAAGGCGTTATACTGGTATTAGTGTCTCAAATGCATATATTACGAACTACTGAATGATTGCGATGCATTTGTATGTTGTTTTTTTTTTGTATTTTTACTCACTGATGATGGTGTTCATACACCGAAACCGGTCTGATCATAATGAATTCGATACAGTGCCTAATCTTTAAATTAATATTGGTATTACGAAATTTGTCACAACATTCAAGAAAAATAACAACAAATCTCTATGATGCAAAAATGTAATGAAAAGCGTCATACATGCTATCAATATTAACCTAGTGATGAGCATTTTCACCGGCGAAAAAGATGGCATCAAATGGAACTTTGGGAGGCGATTGCGCGTTACAGGGTGAGGATAACGGAAAATGGACTGGACATCTGTGGTGAGGGTGGGCACCTCTTACGAAAACCGGTAAGTGAAAAAAGGTGACAGTCTACCTTTAACGGAAATTTCTGAGTATGAGCGGCCGGCCGTGCGGACGCTTTTGCGAGGCTTATATCTCAGCAACCACTTGACCGATTTACACGCGGTAATTTTTGTAGGGTAGCTTCATTCCTTCTACCAAGTATTGGACTATTCCCGATGCATGTGGGTGACCCCTTATGCACGTGCCACGTGCAAAACGAAGAGGTGTCAGTTTTGTAATTGTTTCAATATCTCGGTAACTACTTGGCCGATTGCGCTGAAAGTTGGCATGTAGGTAGGCACCCACTAGGCACTGCATATACATGTGCCAGAGTTGGGGTGCTGCTGCACGTGCGCACGTGCAGGGGTCGTTTCCAGATCTCGAGAACGGCTGGACCGATGGCGCTCAAATTTGGTACACGGTTAGGGACCAGTTAGTAGGGTGCCGTGCACAAGTCAGTTGGGAGTCTGGGACCCATTTTGCACGTGCGCACGTGCAGGGTGCCGCTCCCAGATCTCGAGAACGGCTGGGCCGATTGTGCTCAAATTTGGCACATCGCTAGAAACCGGTCAGTAGGGTGCCGTGTACAAGTCAGTTGGAGGTACCCCCTCGAAATTTCGCACGTGCAAGACTCACCCCCTCGCTCGCTCCGTTAGTCGCCCCAAAAGGCGCTATACCTACTGGTCAATTAAACAAGTGTATGGCAGGCATTTGGATTAGAGATCGGATACCAACTTTTTGGTATACCTAGTACCTACCTACCGATAGTTGACCGATACCAAACCGATACCGACTTGGTATTTGGTATTTCAATCCTATTGTTTTTGGTATTTTGTTGGTATTTTGCAAGGCGTATTATGAATCCTCGCTAACGCATGAGAGGCTGAGAATTTGGTAAAAAGTTGGTATTATTCTTATGCTCCCTAGTTGGTTCCAAGGCAGTATATAGTTAGTTCGGTTTCGGTATTTTCCCAAATCCCATGGTCTTCGTTGGTATTCGTAAGAAATCATCAGAATCAAGAAATCAGAAAAAATCATAAATCTATTGCCAAAAAAAAACTAATTTCGTGAAAGTGAACTATTCTCCGGGGTCGGTGTGGTGTCGGTAATATTTTGGTGACTCCGGGCAGAGCTGTCTAGTGTCTACTCGGAGCCGGTACTCCGACCAACTCCTACTCCGTTCCGACTCCGTTAGCCCGCCCGTCACATCAATATCGGCGTTATTGAACCACTCTCGATGACAGGATGGCCATCAAACTGATTTTAGCACCGCTCCGGAATGCATCCGAGTATGGCTTCCTCAACGTCCATGTGAATCGATCTGTCGCTATACGATGAAACGCAGTGGGTTACCAGCCGGTTTCGCCCGTCGACGAAGGCCTAGGAGTGCGTCAGAAGACGTGCCGATATCGACTTTGGTCTCACTGCAGGGCCGGCTCCAATTACAACTGGGCGCAAAATGACCTCAGCAGTCGGCGCGCCCTAAAGCACCATTTAACAAACAAACAAACAAAATTACAACTATAAGACCATGTTGTTGTACCGATCTATTCACGCACAAAGCACACGGCACACGTTGGGTTTCTACATGGCACATGCCGGAACAGCAAGTGAAACACGTAAATCACATGACATAGTAGGATTACCTATTTCCAAGCGCAACAGTTTTTTTTTTTTTTTGCAATATTTGTAGGTACGTACTGATTAGGTATATGTAGGTATACCTACATACATTTATTACATTTATTTCATTTCATTTATTAATGGAATTGATCACGGGACTAGCCCATTTAAGATCAAAGTCAAACAAAACATAAAATCACAATCACAACACTCTTTAAACCGTCCGTCCTCCGTACCGTTCGCTTTGGGTGTCATGAGGCACTCGGCCACCGTGCTATGCAGAAGACGACATGCTATTGTGACGTGATAGGAGATGGTAGTCAGTATGTTTGCATCTCATCACGCTTGCAGCTTTTGGTCATTGATGATGCAATGCACTTATGAACGACTTACGAGGTCCATTGGATTAGCTTGTGCCCAATTTACTAGGCAAATAAGCAATAAATGCGTACAACAGACGGGCGGAGCAGGATTCTATATTTTATTTTCGTCATCAAATCTCCTCGATCCCTCACCCCCTGCACCCCGCGGCCGGGACACTGGTGCGATGCTACCAGCCGTTCAGGCGGGTCTGGCGGCGCTCGGTGGTTTGCAGTGCGCTCCGCGGAGAGCAGCCGGCGCGCGCGGCGCCCAGCTCTGCGGCCAGCAGCAGCGCGCTGGCCGCGTACCCGTACAGCAGGAACAGGAACGCCGAGCCCACCTGCTGCACGGTGAGCGCCGTGAATCGGCGGCCGGCGCACAGCTCCGGCTGCCGGCGGCACGCCTTCTGCTGCTCGCGCCGCGCCCGCTGCGCCTTCTCCCGCTCCACGTCGGCCATCCACTTGTCGACCAGGCCGAACTGGCGCATCAGCTGCAGCCGGCGGTTCATCTCGGCCGCGTACGGCGTGTTCTTCTGCTGCGCCCAGGCCACGTTGGACGGAAAGAACTGCTCGCGGCCGATGTGCATGTGCGCCGGCGTCACCTGGCCGCGCGTGGCCGCGATCGTGTCGTAGAGCAGACTCTTGGCGCCGGGCGTCTCCTCGAGCAGCGCCAGCCGCCGGCGCGTGGTGGTCAGCTCTCGGAAGGCCTGCGCGTTGTCGCCGCGGATCCAGCGCCGTTTGAGCCGCTGGAACAGCGGCGCCGTCTGCGCGTTCATCCAGTCCGTGTAGGTGCCATAGCCGGCGTGCGTCACCACGTCGTACTCGTGGTCCACCAGGTCCTGTCGGGAATCAGCACTCACGGTTAGACGTCTTTGGTGCCAATGATGCTACGCAAATGTCTTTGGTACGCAGGATGCCACGCAGACATCACTCGCTCGAGAGACGTCACATTATCGGCACAGACGTAACTGGCGCGGGTGACATCACTGCATCGTCATTGTTGTTGCTGGTGATAGCACAGAGCCGAAAAGACGTCAATTATACGGGTAACGTTTCACATTAGTTGTGCTGCTGCTCCGGTTCAGCTAGTGACTTGGGATTCGGAAACTGCTTTTTATGCCCACTTTGTGGTCAAGTGTAAACCTATATATATTATATAAGTGGTAAGTGATCAATCAAGTGGGAAAAAATGACCGAAAATAATAGCCGATTATCTCACAGTAAGACAATACCGATATTTTTTTTAATATGTTAGCTTTCGAGGCTCTGTCAATGCCTTAATGGTCAAATATTGGAACGTTTCATTTAAAAAAGAGCATAATCGGTTTCATTGAAATGCATGAGCACCGTCGTTATTTTCGTGAGGCTAAATTTATTGGAGACCAACGACTGGGTGAAACTGACCCTGTCTTTTATCATTAAACGTCGTGCCTACACATGACACCTAACACATGTGCCTACATACCGACGTTTTCCTCAGGCGACTAGCAATCTAAGCCATAGGTAAGTAAGTATTGCTGGCTCTAACAATATGATCGGGACATTTGAAACGGCACCATTTATTGATAGCATTTACGCAGTTACATGTCGAATAATACGGTGCAATTACTGCCGCTGAGGTTAGTGCGCTTCACAACCTGACTGCTAACTCCGTGACAGCGTTGAAACCGAGCAAATTTAACTGTCGCAATGTTCCATTGGACCATAAATTATAAGACATAAAGGGAGAGGGACGCTTATTATTGAGTGTTTCCGTGAACATCATGTCGCTATACGTGTCGCCATTTGACACGCTTTATGACTTGTTTCACATGCATGTGAAAGCAGAGGCTTTGCCACCGGGGGGAGGAGTGGGGGGAGGAGGGCGAGCTCCAGACCCTCCAATAATCTCACTACCGTAATGCAGCCTAATACATACTTAAAGGTGTGCATTTTTGGGTCGGATACCCTCCCCCAACCTGAGACAGAGGCGTAGCCCCTGCATGTGAAAGTTTCATACGTCATCCCTTCTCACTTGACAATGGTAGCTCAACTCTCATGAGGGTACTTATATTTTCGCCGCTATCCGTCGCGTTAACCGCGAGTTATTCGTTAAAAAAAAAAAAAAAAAAACAGGGAGGCCGTCCGTTTGACTCCCCTCCGCTTATAAGTACGCTAGTTAATTTGGCCGCTCGTTTTTATTTGCCTAATGAGACTCCGAACTCATGGAAGATCGCCATGAAGACATGCGTAATCCGTACACTAAGTATCAGCAAATATTTGACAGTGCTTACCTGGAACGTTTCCGGTGCCCATGAGTCCGGTGGTCGGGTGAGAATCGAGATCAGTTTGGAGGTGTAGGCGGTGCGTGTCACGATACTGGACACGAGCCACGTGCCGACGATCAGGCCGACGGCGAAGCTCATCCTGCCGAGCATCACGCGGCTCCAGTTGATGTCCTGCGCGGTGAGCACGCGGTAGGCGTCCTCGAGTTCGGAGCCCAGCTGCGCCAGCCAGCTGCGCCGGCCGCCCAGCAGCCGCTTGGCGAACAGCACGCTGACGGCAGTCAGCAGCAGGCTGGCCACGATCAGCACCCACACCAGCGGCGACAGCATGCGCGTCAGGTCGCTGCTGACGCCCAGCTGCACCGGCCGAGTGATGATGTTCACGTAGACGAGCGCAAACTCCTGGGCAAAATCGACCACGGTGCGCCGCTTGGCGGTGACGAAGAGGCCGCCGATGGCGAAGTCGGCCTCGCCCCGCGCCACCTCGCCGACCATGCCCTTCCAGACGCCGTCCTCCTCGTGGCCCCAGCTGCCGTCCGGGCCACGCAGGTACAGAGGACGGAAGTTGAGCCGCGAAGCCAGGTTGTCGATCAGCAGTTTAGGAGGCGTATCCAGGGCCGAGACGCACACGCGACCGTTCTGCTGGAGACACTCGAAGAACGGGTTGTAGTTCTCGAACAGGAAGGTGACAGTGCGACCGCCGAGGTCGGCGCGCGTCAGGAGCGCTGATGCGTTGTTTAGGTAGGGCTCTCCGGCTACAGAGTATACTCTCTGCCGCACCAGGGCGCCGTCGTGTCTGCGCTGCGTCACGAAGCGGGTGCCGTTGTCACCGCGCTCCACGCAGCTGGGGTACATCACCTTGCCGAAGAGCGGGAAGCGTAGCGTCTGCTGGCACGAGTCTGCCGGGATCACCACCGTCTCTCCGGCGGCCCAGTGGCTGTGCAGGTGATCCCGCACGCGCGGCAGACAGCGCGCATCCTGGAGGAAGAGCAGCCGCAGCCCGCGGCGCCGGTCGAACAGAAACCGCACCGCCTCGGCGTCACAGGGAAAACAGGTAACCAGCTGCAGGCCGGACGGCCAGTCGAGCTGGCGCAGCTCGGCGTCCAGTGCGTCGGCCGCGCCGCAGCTCAGCACCAGCAGCTCGGAGGAGGAGAGCTTGGCCAGCCGGCGCAGCAGGCGCACCACGGGCGTCATCAGAGGAGGACTGGGACGGGGCCCGGACGCCGGCTCCAGCGCCACTTCCTCGGCCGACCCGAGCGTAACGCCCGGCTCTGCGGAGGGGCCCGGAGTCGGCTCTATCTCCTGGAACTGCTGGGCCGAGGCGAGTCCGGCGACGAGCAGCGCCGGTCCGAGCGCCGACAGCGCCAGGAGCCGCCGACTGTGGCCCATGGCGGCGACGGCGGCCGACCGCGAGTGGCCGACGGCGGCCGACCAACGCGACTTTATACGGCCGGCGCCGGTCCGGCCTCCGCACTGTCCGCCAGCATCGATCAGACGAAGGGTTGCAGCACTATGTAATAGTATCCATGGATATAGGTACATAAATATGCCGTACGGTTGTTGAGATGATTACTTCAGCTGCTTTATTTGTCAAACTTTCCTTTGGCTTATGAGCTCAATGTCACTTATGATGAATTACATTTGGCATCAATGTCAAACAATTTCAGCGAGTTTGTACTGTGTATTGAAGTTTTGAGAATGGAGCAACAAACGCTCATTATTGTACCATAAGCCATACCTCGTACAATACCTCGTAAAAGGACACAGCCCACATTGCTCCTTTAGTACCACATACCTAGTATTAGTTACGTCTCATGTCTACTTTTGGTCAATAGTAAAATTGATGTCCCACGGCTGCTTTTAGGTCCCCCTTCCGCAGGTGCATAACGATTCAGAAGCTTCTTAGTGTTGTAACGGGTTATCGTTCCTCACCGCCAACTCCAGCCGCTGCAGACCCTGGAACAAGGCCCCTCAGCTTTCCAATATACAGGGACTTATAAATGTTATGTAAACGTATTTGGAGACACTACGGTAAATACAACGTCTGCGCTTTGCACTTATTTAAGAAATCCGATGAAGAGAGGTCAAACCATCGAAATAGCAAACTACATGTTAACAACATGTTCACTCAGGTGTGTACACTTTTTAACGATCAGGCATTTAAGGCCATCGCTAGTTGTAAACCTTTAATAACCTGCAAAGAGCGACGTATATTTGTGTCTCGAGGCCGGACAAAGCCTCGCCGTGAATTATTCTTACTTAGAAATCACCAAACTAAACCACTATGCCGCATGCTGTAAAATATTGCACAACCTCTTTCACTAATTTGCTTAAAAAACGAAAATATATTTTGTAGTAGGAATGTTCCGTCACCTACTCCTCTTTTGGAGGCTCTACAGTCTGTAGTCTACACGTCTAACCCATTTGACGACGTGGGTCAGCACTTAACACTGATGATTTGTCTGCATTTAAGTGTTCATTGAGTACTTCTAGAAACTCTTATTTGAGGGAAAGCTGAAATATAAAGGCATTCAAATGAAACGCCTATGAGGGTTTTCCTTACGTGCGTTGCGGTACAGCATAACTTCAGGCGTCCACTACTAGTGACATCTAGCGGCAAGACGACCAGACTGTGAGCGGGAGCGTTTAGATACGGCGCTCCCAGATAGGTCGCTCACAGTCACATTAGCTGTCTCAGTCGCGGCCGGGCATTCTTCACATTGAGAATGAGTGCTGCATTTCTCACCCATGCCCATGACGTAAACGATCTTAGCCTTGTGCAAGAGTCAAAACTGTCTTCGTCCCCCAAAACCCAGTCATCGGGCAGACAGTAGCGGAGGAACACCTTAAATTAAAGGGGGGGGGGGGCGCTGCCGACTTTAAGTCCCATTCTTTCCATGCAACGCCCGTAGGGCTGATGTTAAAATGCCCAAATCAAGGGGGCACGGTACCTCCCCCCGTTCCGCCGCTTATGCGGGCAGGGCGGAAGGCTGACGGTAAAATTGCCGTTCGTATTTCAGTCCGCAATGAACTCAGGGATTTCAGCATCAGAGGTTGTGACTCCATAAAAGTGACGACCGTCGATAGGATTTTAGCTGTTGTAGCAAGACCGCCAACATAAAGGTCAACATACTCTTCTGTCCTGCAAGTACCCGGTCAGCTAATTTCCATAGAACAAGTAGGTATGCATAATCGAGAGGCGTCTGAGTTGCCAAGATAGCATGGCCATAGCCCCCGCATGAAATGACAAATGCTTTGGTGATGCCTTGGATGATGATGGTTTGGTTTTTAGAGGGCTAGACTGCATTTATTACGCTCATTTATCGCCGCTGGGGCTTCCCAAATGACAAGAGCTAAGAATTAATGACATGAGCACATCATGACATAATGATATAATGCATAGACCTCTGTATCGAGTCGGACACGTAGTTTCTGAGATACAAAAAAGGGATTTGCACGAGCGCACGTACATCGGCACCTCAAAATTGGGACATGCGTTATTAACAAGTGTGTTATACTTAGCTGTGTTCCAAATCGACACTCATTCGGCCTAGCCGTTCCCGAGATACTGTCACACCATTTTCATAAACATCTCTCACGCGCCACGTCACGTGCAGGTGCTCCCCCATCACCCAGCATCGGTTCGGCGGATGGTGCCCATCAATTTCAATGAATGGGGCTATGCGGCAGCGAAAAGACGGACGTCGTAGGTAAACTGACTTTCGAGCTATGTATAAGCGTTTACTTTTAGGGCCGTTGTGGTCATGGCCAGATTTTCAGTGTTCAGTCCAGTAGGTATACAGAGGTCTATGCATAATGACAAAAGAAATGACAAGAGCTAAGATTAATAGCAAAGTTCTAGATGCCACAAAACACGCGATTATGGTTTCAGAAGGGTGCTTCATTAAGCGTTCATTTACGCTTTACACTTCAAGCCTCTTGCGTGAGCACTGGCGGATCCAGACTTGCGTTTTGGGGGGGGGGGGGCCAACTCGTGCAAGGAGCCAAACCTAGGGTACCCCCAAATCCTGTTTTCTCATCGGATTTAGGCCACTTATTTTTCGTCACAGCCCTGAAACGATAATTTTTTTTTTAACTAAAAAAAAAAAAAATAGAGAGAGAAATGGTAGCCCACTCAACCCGTGCCTTAATATTACTTTGAAAACACTTCAAATTGCTTTTGTCGACCACCGCTCCGGGTCGGTGCTTGGCGCAGCCTTCGCGGGCTGGGAGGTGTCGGTTGAACCTCTCTGCCGTTCGGCCCCTGATCAAGCTAGAGCTCGCGGAAAAAACGAGTGTGTTGCCTGTCAGTGACGAGAGGAAGCCGATGATACCCGATTTTAAGGTCCTTGGTCATTGGTTGACCTTCCAGGGCGGTGTTTCACGGTCGCGCTGCCAGCCGCTGCCAGCGCATTCCGCGAGCTAAGGTCAACCTTCGGTAGTGTTGTAGGTATAGGCTAGTTGATGTCTCCATGGAAACCAAAAGTGCCAACAGCGCTGGCAGCGTGCCGTGAAACACCGCCCAGGTCAGGTCACAGACCCAAAAGACGGGAAAATCAGGGCCTGTCAGAACCTCCTAAAGTAAGGCTGTAATAGATTTTTTTGTGCTGATCACGAATTTCATGTTAGTTTGGATCATAGATGATGTCTTCATGCCTTTAGGCTATGTCGGGGCAGGCCAGGTCAGGTCAACCAGGTCAACCAGTACTTATGGGCGTCCGTGTAGCAGGTGTCCGACTACCACTGGCAGCTACGTAACATGATACGAAGGCATCAAAACTACTTCGTAAATGTTCAAATGGTTGCTAAATGCTAAATTCAAAATCAGCTAAACGAAACTATCCTAGAAACATGTTAAACTCGGAAAAGTGCACCGAGGTCATCAAAGGTCAATGACCTGACTTGACCCTAAGGTGACATTGACACCTACCACAATGGTTGGGACCAACATCATTTCACATGTTTGAGCGTTTTAAACCACGAAAAGACTGTAAACGAGCGGATAATGTGAGCCGACATACGCGGAATCGCGATTCCGGCCAAACATGGCCTCAAACATGGCCAAACATATGGTGCGTTCGGAGAGGCACATTCCACGTGGAATCCGTGGAATACTCCATGCGCGCGGAACATTCCCGGAGATTGGCCGTTCAGAGAGATACGCCTCCGAACGCGGCACGGGGAATATTCCAGGGGACGGTGAATATTCCATGCTCTCCGAACGCACGGATAGTCTCGAGAAATAGGCCACAGGTCAAAGGTCACTTGGGTCAGGGTCATGAAATTTTCAGACTTTTCAACATGAGGGTGCTAAAGTTTCGTCGCGATCGGATTCATGATAACTTACACGATAACTTCACGCGTCGATCGAGAGGTAAAGTATGCAATAAGAACTTCTTGGGTGAAGACGAGACCAACACTCAAGCTCACATATTTTTAATGATACGGTAGTTTCTACCTACTACGCTACTTTCTCACAGTCATATTTCTTAAGTGTTTTTGGGGGCCAAAATACATGTTGCCCCCTTTCAGGCTTGGGGGCATGACCCCGTGGCCCCCCTGGATCCGCTAGGCCGAAACTAACTAGGCCGTTTTCAAACGGTCTGATATTTCAGGTCATGGTTTGCAAACGACCGGTGTTTTCAGGCTGTTTCATATGCCCTGACTGGGCCAGGCCGTTTGCAAACGGACAATTTTCATACGGCCTGTAACATATATTCATATTTCACCATCTGTCGCAGCATCAAATGCTGATGTGGTGCACACTGCACTCAAAAGCCGGAATTGGTCCTTGGATGCCGTAAGGACCCTTTTAAGAAATAAGTGACCCGACTGACCCCTTAGAGATTGGCCTGAGCTCTGACCGAAATAAGTCTTTTACCGTTTCACGGGAAGGGACAAAAGGTCCCTGATATGCTTCTTGTACAATTACCAAACAAAACAAGCTTTTCAACGCCAACTCAGTGAGTGTTCCTAAAAAAATTATTGCGCATATTCCGTGAATGAAAAATTGCCGGGTCATGTCAGGTCAGGCTGCCAGAGCAAGTTTGTTAACTTGACAGTTCAATCGATATGTATGCAATAAGACCTTCTCGGGTGACGACAAGACATGACGACACTTTATGAAGGAAGCTAGTAAACCCGGTGGTTTCTCCATAGGCACGGGAACCGGGGCAGTGGGGACAGCTTGCCCACCCCCCAACTATGGGGCCGTGGGGGCGGTGCCCCCACAACTTTCAGACGGAATACCCCATTTTTTGCAAATGTTTTCTTTTTTTGTTGAAAAAAGCCAAGGGATGAAAAATAAGTGGCCTAAAACCACCGGTGAGAAAACTATATTTGGGGAGACCCTAGGTTGATCTCTATTATGGTGTGCCCCCCCCCCCAGTCTGAAA